GACCGGAGCTGCCTATTGGACGACTGGGAACTTTCGAAAGGCCCGCGCTCCTCACCAGGGCGGAGGCGCTGGTGACCGCGGGACCGCGTTCCCCGGCAGGTTGTTCCTCCCAAAGCGCCTACCCGGGTTTAGCGGTGGCGTCACTCCTCCTAGTGTCCTCTCATGCAGTCTGTAATGCTGCCTCCTCTTACTCGGAATAGAAAACTTTTAATATTTGAGCATCCCAATATCAGTAAGAAAAACATTATCAGTATTTTGATTTTTTTCTCCTTTTTTTTTTTTCTCTTGGGTGCTAAGGAGATTTGGGGAAATTCCTCCCTAATGACCGATTTAACAGTAATTATCGCTTAGCTCACACATCCATTCCGAATGAAGCTTAAAAGCTTTATCTCTTATTGAAAGAGATAAAGCAATAGTTGACAGCAGATAGGCACAAACTGCCTTTTTTTTTTTTTTTTTAAGATATGCATCAGTACAAACATCGAGAAACTGATAAAGTGCAGTGGAAAAGATACTATTATTTATGACCGTATGCTCACTTATTTAAACGACCTATATAGTACCCGTGTGTGTTAAAGCTCTTTTAAGGAGTTTGTGGGTGGCTCTTAAAAGAGCCTTTGGGTTAAAATAGACGGTCCAGGACGCTCTACTTGGAGCTGGTGTACTTGGTGACAGCCTTGGTGCCCTCGGAGACGGCGTGCTTGGCCAGCTCGCCGGGCAGCAGCAGCCGCACGGCCGTCTGGATCTCCCGCGACGTGATGGTGGAGCGCTTGTTGTAGTGCGCCAGGCGCGACGCCTCGCCGGCGATGCGCTCGAAGATGTCGTTCACGAAGGAGTTCATGATGCCCATGGCCTTGGACGAGATGCCCGTGTCCGGGTGCACCTGCTTCAGCACCTTGTACACGTAGATGGAGTAGCTCTCCTTGCGGCTCTTCTTACGCTTCTTGTCACCCTTCTTCTGCGTCTTGGTCACCGCCTTCTTAGAGCCCTTCTTGGGCGCTGGTGCGGACTTAGCCGGCTCAGGCATTTTGTCAGCGAGACTCCGGATACCGCTCAGCGAGAACAGCAGCTAAAATGGCCGCGGTGTCCTTATTTATAGAGCTGTTATGCAAATATGAGGGCTCCAGACTGTGTAATATGATTGGGCGCTACTGTGGAGAGGTGTGCCATCGACCACGATTGGTTCAAAGAAGATCCGCCTTGTCATTGGCTGAGCTAATAGTGACTGCTGGTAGCCAATCGCGAGGAGCCAATCCCGCCCAGGGAAGGGATAAAAAGGGAAGGTTCTTTGCGTCATCACAAGTCTCTCAGATTCTTTTGCTGGAGTAGTCGTCGCGTTTACGCAGCAGCGCCAGTATGTCCGGCCGCGGGAAACAAGGAGGCAAAGTGAGGGCGAAGGCCAAGTCCAGATCATCGCGGGCCGGGCTGCAGTTCCCCGTCGGTCGCGTTCATCGTCTGCTCCGGAAAGGTAACTACGCGGAGCGAGTAGGAGCTGGAGCGCCTGTCTATATGGCGGCCGTGCTGGAGTACCTGACGGCCGAGATCCTGGAGCTGGCGGGCAACGCGGCGCGCGACAACAAGAAGACGCGCATCATCCCGCGCCACCTGCAGCTGGCCATCCGCAACGACGAGGAGCTCAACAAGCTGCTGGGCAAGGTGACCATCGCGCAGGGCGGCGTGCTGCCCAACATCCAGGCCGTGCTGCTGCCCAAGAAGACTGAGAGCCACAAAGCAAAAAGCAAGTAAACTTAGGAAAGCTCTTCAGATATTTCAAAACAAAGCATATAACCCAAAGGCTCTTTTCAGAGCCACCCACACAATCAAAAAAGAGTTGAGTTGCTTTCTTAGTGAAAGTGATGTGTGATTTATTTTGTGCTTGTGTTATTTTTAAGATGGAGTTAAGTGGGTGATTAAAAACTGCTTTTATAAAAAAAGTCTGGAAATAATTTGATTCCTAACTTCAAAGAAAGAAAGAAAAGATACTCTTCCAGGAATTTAATACTTATTTTGTGATTCCTGTGTAAGAGGTTTGCTAATCTGCTCTTTATTTTTGAGACATTTTCATTATTTTACTTCAAAAGCTACTTTGGGAATCAGTATCTTAAATGTGAAAGGATACAGCTTTTGTTTCATTTCCTAGCTATGTGGCGTGAAAGGAAATACAAGAATGCTCAGTCACGTGTTACTACATCTAAAAAAATAAAAGAAACCTGTCATTGTAGGCAGGCTTGTTTTTTTCTTAAAAGACATTGAACATCCTTGTCACTCTTCTTGTTCTTTTTTTGTTTGTTTGTTTTGTTATGTAGAATTGGCATTAGGCATTCTTAGGGGGAAACATTATATTTATTCAGATCCAAAAGTAGCCAGATCGGCACTGCACAGCACTGACTTCTTCCCACCCGGGAAACTCCTACAGCACTGCTAAATTCTAAGTTTAAGTGGGGTTTTTAATTGGGCTAGTCATTCCAATTGACTAACTCTGCCTAACTGTTGTTTTCTGACAGAGCATTTAACCATGGGAATATTATTTGAATTCATCTTTTACTCCATTCACCCAAGCATCATCCAGAAGCACAGTAACAAATCCCTGTAGAGTCACTATTGTGGAGTGTGAGAAAGAGTG